GGGCCAGGTGGTGAGCCAGGGATTCACCTGAGAGCAGAGGTTAAAGCAGTCAACGTGAGTGCTCACCGCACGTTCTGTTTCATTCCTAAAAGGATTTGGGGTGGGTGATTTGCGTGGATCATTGCTCAATTGTAGGTCCTCCCACCATTCAAAATGCATAAAGCTGGCCTCCCTTCAAATGCCAGGTCATTTCCTCATCAAAGCAAAGCAGAATAAGCAATTTAAGCCTACGACAGGAAGGGCACCCGAAGCCGGCTAATGATGTGGACGTCTAACCAGAGCGCGCGGAGGGCTCCGGCACACGTGTATTTGGTATGGATTGCTCACTCCTGTCTGCTTGGCGGGTGGGCCCACAACTCCCAGTGAGCAGTGGCACCAAAAGCCACAAGGGGGAAGCTGACGAACCCCCACCCACCTTCACCTCCTAAGACGTGCCATGTCACGACAAACCTCACCCGACACCACTGAGATTCATTTCAGGCTGGGGACGGGGCTAGAACACGGCGCGAAGTGTTTTCTGAAAGCAAAGCATTTTCTGCCTTGCTGGAGATTCTGTCTTAGCTGGTGATACAAACACGTGCACACACAAAGTGCCAGACTGTTCTGGTCTAATCCCATGACTCCCACAAAACAAACCCGGAAGACTGAGCTGGAAGGTCTGGGTGTCATTTATTGACAGCGGTTTACACACAACTCTTTTCTTCTTGTGGTTGTTTCCTTCAAGGCACAGGCACAGAGCCCTCTAGGAGGGCAGTCTCTGAACGAGGGGGCCAGGAACGCAGGATGCGCATGTCCTTGGCAGGCATGTGCAGCCCCGGCAGGATGCAATCCTTCAAGCTGGAATTCCACCGGGTATTTGAGACACCAAGGTGGGAGGCGGAGAGGAAGTCTCCAGGACTCACATCTCGGTCCAGGCCTGCTCTCTCACTAGCCAAGTCCATTCCAGTCTTAGGACCCCGGGGGGGCAGCAAATCAGGCCCACCCACCTTCACAGGGCAGATTCTTCAAACCTCGCTGTCTGTACACACCTGCTTCCGCTGGCCCCACAGTTAGAGAATCAGCCTGATGGCAAGAGACAGATCGCTTCCCCTCTGCGCCTCCCCAGCACCTGCCTTCAGCTCGGTCTGTGCAGAGAGAAAACTGAGGCCTGTGTTCGCAGCTCAGCTGTGTGTGCCATCTTCCTCCAACTGTGAATAAACCACAGGTTGGAGGCTACACGGCTGCCCGCTGTGCTCCCAGCTCGTCACACACACAGCATTGCCTTCCTTCTGCCAACTGCCAGCACCTAGGCTGGGCGCCAGCAGGCCGAAGACGGGAGCCAGGCTGGTCTGTGGAGGCACCTGGCAATTTTTGGTAGGGAGGGGGATAAAAAGGGGATGGAAATAAGAATGAAAGAGCTTCAGTTTAGATACAGTAATTACAGATCTGAGGTGATCTAACTTTTATTTCCTTCACTTGAAGCCAATCATGAGTCTCACAGTGATTTCTGGGGCGGGGGCGGAAGGAAGGTGGTGTGGAGGATCATCGGGCGGTGGTCCAGCTGCCCCAGGAGGAGCAGGCGGGCGGGCCTCACTGGGGCAGCTGGAGGAGCACCGACTGCCCGGCGGGCAGGTAGGTGATGTTCCGAGAGCGGGACAGCTGGTATGCGATGTCCTCTGCGGCCTCCAGCTTGCGCAGCTCGATCAGGCCATCGCCTGCGGTGGCGAGCGAGTTGGCGATCAGCTCCGCGGCCTTGGAGTCGCCCTCCGCAGAGATGATGGCTGCCTTCTTCTGCTGCTCAGCCTAAGGAGTGGAGGCAGAGAGGGACCAAGATCACACCTCGGGGCGCTGGACAGTGGGCTACAGCTTCCAGAGGACCAGGTTAGGCAGCCTCACTGGGTCCTGAAGGACCTCTGGGCATTTACCTCCCCCTCCAGAAGGGGTTAGTAATCCTCCTCTCTCATGTAATGTCCACTGCTCACCGCCGTAGGGGCACGTTTCTGTTGGCTGTATGAATAGCTGTCTTATTTCAAACTCCTTAATAATATTAACAGCAACCCAGCCCAGCCACCTTACTCTGAGCCAGGAGGATCCCAGGCCAAGGAAAGCAGGAGAGAAAGGAAGGGAGAATCAGTCCTCAGACTCATCCTTCTCTCCAGTCCCAAGTCAAAGTGACGCATCGAAGTCAGCACAGCTGAGGAGGAGCAGCAGGCACGTGACGCTCCCTCAGGTTGCTTGTGAGCTAAACTGGTTCCTGACCAGGAACTCAGGCACCCAGAACAAGCTCCCTCGGGCTTCCCCTTCCCTCGTCAGTAGGAGGGTATCTATCTGCGATGCGCGACCTTCACAAGCGCGGGAGGAGAGGAGCAAGCCTCTCTGAAATGGACACAGAGCTGTTCAATGAGGCTCTGGGACGGCGCACTCAACAAATGTTTACCGAGCACCTGGTACCGATCTCCAGGCGCAGTTCTGGACGTGTTCGAGGTGCTGGAGGTAGGCGGAAAAAGGAGGAAAAAAAAGTCTCCATTCACACTGAGTTTATAGTCTCTAAAGTTAAATGCCCAGCCATATATTTCCTTTTCCTGATTCTAAGAACTAAAGTGCCTTGGATTAGGAATACAACTCCAAGAGAATTAGTGCTGGGGAGAGGGGGTTACAAGAAATAAATGCACCTTTGCAAAGACCCGAAGACAAGGCTCTATGCAGATACACGTTGTCCCAGCACACCCCGACACATCTGGATGGGTTTAGTGCTTTAAAAAACCCCAGTGACGATAGCGCATCTGGCGCAACGTTTGATCCTTTTTGCTGTCAGCTTTCACTGTGTCACCGCAGTTAAAAATGACTTCCCCAGTGAAGCTGAAAATATTCCAGAAGAAACATTTTTATTTGTGGGCGAGTGTTTTTGATCTTAGGGAAGTGGGAAAAAAAAATCACCCTTCAGTGATTTAGGAACATAACTTCACATATCCCTGACTAGGCCCCAAAGACTCTGGAACCAATTGCAGGAGTGCAGTCCCTTCAGTCCTCTTCTGATGATCCCGGAAGCAGAGATGACAGATGATGAATTTCCAGGCCACCCAGCAGACGTGGAGGCCGAGCACAGGAGAAAGGGGAGGGGGCTCCTGCCATCTGGTCGCACACTCACCTTTTCCACCACGAATCTGGCCCTCTCCGCTTCCTGCTGAGCCACCTGCTTGGCTTCTACCGCTTCTGTGAACTCCTTCCCGAAGGTCAGATGCGTCTAAGGGGAGAGAGTGAGCACGAGATAAGGCGGTGTGATTGCTAGACAGCACTGCTGTGAGGTCCCACAGCTGCCGGAGGGGGCGGCCAGCAATGGCTCCAGCAGCTGGAGGCATCGTGAGGCCAGACCACCCTTCCACCTCCACGTCCACGTCCAAACTGAGTCCACAGCCTGGAATCCTCGGCCACCCCACGGGCTCCTGTACATCTTTCTGTCCCTCTCAGGTAGGAAACAGCCCATGGGCACCAGAAGGTATCTACTCCAACTGACCACCTCCCTAGGGAGGAGACCTGTGGGTGCCAGGAACCCACCACTGACTAGCGCTCTTCCAAGGTCCTGTGATGGCCTGTCTGAAGCCCCTAGAA